AGAGATCTCAAGTTATCCTACATGACTGCATATAACCTAGAAACTAAAAGTTGTGGGTTGGTTCGGTTTTACCAAAAAATTTACCCAACTCGGCCTATGCTCATCCTATTGGGACAAATATATATATATATATATATATATATATATATATATATATATATATGTGTGTGTGTGTGTGTGTGTGTGTGTGTATGTGTGTGTAAGGCCTTTTACTTTGAATTTGAGAAAAGTGGGTTTTAAAGAATTTTGTGGATTTATTTGGATTATTTTGTCATTTTTGTGGAACTTTGACAATTTATGGAACATAAGACACGTCATTCATATATCTTAGGAATTTTGGCATGATTTTTAGGGAATTTTGAGAATTCATGGAGAACTAGAAGGTGATATGCACTTTGTGTGTATAACTTTTTTTATTAAAATAGAGTCGTATAGTAGAATATAGAAGGTGGGGGGGGACCAAAAGTGCTAACCCCACAAACTAATGTGGTAAAAACTACATGTGTCATATTTAGTAAATGACAGGGACCAAAAGTGGCAATCTAGAAATCTTTGTGGCTAAAAGTAGAGAATGTTGAAGTTGGGGGACCAAAGGTGTCAACTCCACAAACTAATGTCGTAAGAAGTTAAGGGACCAAAAGTGGAAACGTCATGAAACTTCTGTAACGTCCCATTTTTCACAACCAGAATTTTCCACTTTTATTAAGGTAAAACTTCCTAATGTATAAATCCATTATTAAGAAAAACCGTTTATTCCAAATTACATTAACTAAAATTTAGAGTATCATAGAAAACATAAAATCCTCAATACTGATGATGAGTGTGCACAGTCCTGCCTTCGTCTTCTAATGGCCACCGATGATAGCTGAAACAATAAAAAAACTGGGTAAGGATAAAGCTTAGTGAGTCTCCACCAAAATACCGCATTCGAATAATCATACAAGTGTACATAACGACCACTCTTCGGGCCTTCGCCCTGGACCGCCTCGCAGGCCTCCAGTCTATCTGGGCTAGAATACCATGATATGTTGGCCTACCCTCTTAACCAAACCGCTCTTCTCGAGCCTTCATGCCTATGACTTATAGGTGGCCCGCACCGGGTATCTTCGCCTACATCACAAAGCAGTAACGCCTCAACCCAAACCAACACAACATGTCGACATATAAACAATCAGGATCAAGTAGGCATATAATATAGGAAAACAAACATTCACTCCCGCAAACCAGAACGTCAGAAACATCCGGGGCGGATGGAGTGACTTCTTGTACAGTATCATAACAATTGAATATAAATGAAACATAGCAACACAAACATTCATACATTGAGATTTCAAGTGTTACATTGTTTACAAATCTCTGTTTGCTCAAAAGTTGAATATAAATAACTGGAAAGTAGAAAACATGAAACGACGACGCCGGTCCTCAATAAGGGTTGAATCCTTGTCCACTGGTTTCCTGAGAATACAAGTGATTTTGAAAAGTGTCAACAATTAATTTGGTGATTTCATAAGCATTTTATGTGAGAAGGATTTGTAATGTTTTTGTGTAAAATGATTTTGTATATTTCTTGAAAATTTTGAACTATAAATGTATGTATTTCCTTTGTATCTTTTCCTTGTAAAATGATAATGTATGTTTTCAGAAAAATCCAATGTTTTCTTAAGTATGAACTGTAGATATATGTATTTCCTTTGTATATTTTCCTTGTAAAATGATGATGTATTTTTCCAGAAAATCCAATGTTTTCTTAAGTATGAACTGTAGATATAAGTATTTCTTTTGTATATTTTCCTTGTAAAATGATAATATATGTTTTCCAGAAAACCCAATATTTTATTTAAGGTAAACTGTAGTCTTAAACCCTAAGACCAAAAATATATAAGTATTGTTGTACTGAAAACCCAACCCCTATAGGAGTTTCCAAGGAAAATTTTCCCACATGTGGCACAAGTTTAAGAGGCACCCAAATTAGGTTTTGCAGGGATTGAACTCCCAACCTCTACCCCCACGTCGGTATTAAACCCGGTACCTCTTCCCAGCTAGGTTGGAAGTCATTGGTCACGAATTATTTATTTAAAAACGAAAATTTTATATTATTATTTTTGGGACACTTCAGATATTTGATAATTACAAATTTGCCACTTTCATCTACACAATTAAAAATTTTGATCTAATGTTCCACTTTTAATTCTCGGATTCTCTGAAAACTATAGGTTCTCAAATGATCATTCGTATATTGACCCAGAAAATAAGAATAAAAAAACTTATTCACGAAAATCATACAAAATAACCTTCCTACAATTAAATCATGACTTAATCAAGAAAATCAAATTTCTCTAGTGTGATGATATGCTCACAAATATTTTTAACTATGGTGAAAAATTCGAAAATGAAAAAAAATTAAGAAGCTTTAGACTATATGGTATAGTAGCTGCTAGATTATAAGCTAATTGATAAAAATAGTGTTTTGTAAAAACTAGTTGATGAGTTAACCGAAAATTTTAAAATGACATACAAAGCCATTTGTTTTTTTAATTAATTAAGTATATATTTGATTTTTTTAATCTTATTAAAATATATTCTAAGTAACTTTTTAAAAATATAGCTTATAAGCTACCTATAAGTTACTTTCTGTTGTGTGAGACATGACTAGTTAAAAAGACTTGAAAATTTATTTCTTTTATGGGTTAGTAGTGGTGTACTATACACAACCTTAGTGACTTCTTTGATATTAAGTTCTTTAAAGATAAACAAGTAAATAACTAAGGCTATGTTTGACGTAGTAGTTGAAAAACTAACTGTTAGCTGAAAGGTAGTTAGTCGTTATATGAAAATTTAGTTGATAAAAATACCATTTAAAAAAAGTAACTGATAAGTTAGTTGAAATATATATATAAAAAAAAAAAAAAAAAAAAAAAAAAATTTAGAAGGATATTTTTATTATCAATTAACGGTATATTTGTAAAAAAAAAAAAAAAAAACTAGTATTAATAGTTTTTTAAGAAGTTGTTACTTTTTTGGTTGTCAAACATGAAAACTTGAAAAAGATAAAAATATGTTCTCAGCTAGCTGTGGATATGGGTAAGGAAAAACAGAATCCAAAAACTGAAAAACTGAAACCAATGGTTTGGGTTTTAGTTTTTTAAAAACCATAATATTGTGTTTAGTTTCGGTTTTAGGATTTGTAAAAACCCAAGAAAAAGAAAACTGAAAAACCGAAACCAATGGTTTAAGTTTTAGTTTTTTAAAAACCAGAATACTGTGTTTAGTTTCGATTTTAGGATTTGTAAAAAACCAAGAAAAATGAACCAAATTAATGTAATGTTAAATAAATTTTAATGTAGATAAATATTTATTAATTTGTTATGCGTAAAGTGAATACAAGTAGTAATCTAGTATGATTGCTATGTATGGGCAACGCCCACCAGGCCGTTTTTGTGGGTTATGACAACATAAACATCAACCGCTTCATCGTTTTTGTGCATTATAAGTCCGTTCGTTGTTATCTGTTACCAATACAACATCCTAAAACACATTTTCCTTTTTTTTTTCCTCCTAAAAATGCTTGTGGGAATTGCCCACATCTTAAGGTGACATATCAGGATCAAAGATTTTGATATGTTTATAAGGTTGTTCGTTGCTAACTATTACCACCACATCCTAAAACACATTTTCCTTTTTTTTTTCTCCTTAAAACGTCTGGCAAAACATGACACGACACAAAAACTCGATACGAAATTAGCGGGTTAGGATCAGAGATTTTGACACGTTTATGTAAACAGGTTAACACGACACAACACACTAATTAAACGGGTAGGGTTAGGGTCAAAACTTTCAACTCGAAGATGACTCGAATATGACCCATTTAATTATATATTATTTATTATAAATTTCATATTTTTATAAATATATTATATGTTATAGACTTGTAGTGGACCAAACTTAAGAATTAAAAATAATATTCAAATTTTCAAAATTACATAATTTTACTCATTCTCACCAGTTATCCTCTTTCCTCCCCAACTTCAATTCTTTTCATTTTTCCTTCTAAACTTATTAAATTTTTTTTCATTCCATCTCCTAACTCCAATGTTTCACTTTTTCATTTTGCATCCATAACTCCTACTTTCCAACATTTAAAATATTTCAAGACATGAAACAATATATTTATAAGGTCTAGACCTTAACCTGAAACCCGATACGAAACCGACACAAAAAAAACGAGTTGATACGACACAACACAATAATTAAACGGGTCAGGTTACGATCAAACTCTTTCAACCCGTTTACTGTCTTGATACGACATGAACCCGACACGACACAATACATTTGCCATGTTTAGTTACTAACACGGGACAATCAATGGTTTTTAGTTTTCAAACAAGAGCCAATCCATCCCACATTGTTGGTGTTATAGAAAATGTCATTCACATCCCTTTTATGTTTATATAAGCCATAAGCCCAACCCAAGGAAAACAGAAAACCGAAAACCGAAAACCAAACCCACTGTTAGTTCGGTTTGGGCTTAGTTTGGTTTGGGTTTAGTTAATGGTAAAAAACCAACCCATATTCACCCTAACTATGACGCATCAAACACAAACTAAATAGATAACATACTTCTATCTACATAAAAATGTTTTATACATAAAGTGTATTCTTTTAGACTAAATAAATAACTTCCAAAAAAATAAATTTCAAAATATTCATTAACTTTAACAATATTTATCAATTCTAACAATATAAAGCAACCTCAATACATGAAATTTAATCTAAAATATATATAATAAAAAAAAAATCAAACTGACCATATAACTAATAATAAATCACAATAAAAGGAAAAATATACAGAAAACCACAAAAGACTGATGATATACATGATTATATATTACAAAAAGTATTTAATCATCTCTCTAAATACTTTATAAAGAAACAAGTAAACGGTTTCATGATTATCCATTTATATTTTATACCCTACTACCAAATAAACAAGGCTCTAGTGTCTAGCCAATGACGTCTCTCCCAACGACTCCAACCCCAAAAACGACGCCGTTACGAAAGTTCCTGTTTTTGCTAATTTTGAGCTTTTTAAAAGCAGACTTTACGTCGAACAGGTGGAGTGCATGAGTCAAAAGCTGTTTCGATTCCCCAAAAATCGATAGATTTAAACGAGGAATGTATGCTGCCCATAAAGCTATAATTTTGGGTATAATTTCGGGGCATAAAAATAGGAGTGATTTTAATGAAACGAATAATATAGAAAATACGAGATAGGGTTCGCTACTGATTATCTGCTTTAACGAATTTATGTTTTTGCTTTCAAAAGAGGAATCCAGTTCGAGTTGTTCTTCTGTTAAATGCATTGTAGGCTCGAGTCCTTGAAATAATTAAAAAGAGAAAAATACGTTAACGAAAATATTTTCACAATTATTAAAAACAAAAAAGAAATACTAAAACAAAAACAAAAACAATACCTGTGGTTCTTTGATAGAAATTCAAAAGCGAGTCTAAATCTTTTGGGCCATGATGTTGCATGCGGGATGTTCTATTTGTTATTAAAATAGTTGGGAGGCTATGAATTCCATTTCTTGAGAAAACACTAAAAAAAATATATAAAAATTAGCAATTTTTTTTAATTATATAAACCGAAAAAAAAAATGCAATGAGTTTTTACCTTGGCAATGCGGAGGATTGTTCAACTTTTACGTGTTTAATTTGTGGATACATTGAAGCAAGAGCATGGAATTTGGTTTGAGCATTTATGGAAAATGGACACCATGAAGCATAAAATAGAATCGATGTGTATGCATTTGTTTTATAAGAACTCATAAAGTTGTCTAGAGACTCCCCATTCATCTATATGGAAACATAATTAAAATCATTAATATACACAAATATAATAATTTAATACAAAATTATTTTGTATGAACTTGGTGAACCGAACACTGATATGCCTCTTACTGAGTCTGGTAAAAACTAGGTCCGATTCTGTCAGATTCAGCTTGTTTATACCATAATTATTTCTCAGCCTCTTACTAGGTCAGATAAGAGGAGGCTGAGTCTGACTGACTTGACTGAATCAGATCTGACTAAATTAGCTGACACAATATTAATGTGATAAAACATTACAATTCTGGCTATTGTGGACTAAAAAGGGGGAAAAGGTTTTAGATATGTCAATGTTAGTAACAAGGAAGGTGGATCTTGAGAAAGATTTTTCCATTTTGGATTGAGGTCAAGTTTGAAGCGTTTAATCTATTATGAACAAAATAAGGAGTTTTATGTGATTATCTTGTTTATCACAAATTGAGCAAGTTTAAAGCACCTACTAATCATTTTCAAGATTGTTAAAGGTGTGACCTTGGGATATTTGGAAAAATTATATATATCAAGGAAATACCTAAGCTATTCATGGAGAATTTGACTATGGATAATTAAGAATTAATGGAAAGTAGCAATTAAATTCAACATTTATAAAAGAAACACAAAAGTATTGCGTATAGATGTGTCGTGATTCTTGAATAAAATTAAGACGAAAAGATACCTCGATCGGCGAAGAGGATACGATTGTGGTAGGGCACTGAAGCTGTAGATCGTGAAGAAATGGATGAATCTGGGGATGACAGCTTGATGATAAGGACGGAAGAGCTGAGGAAACGGAAGAGAAAATCGTGAGTGTAATGAACGTGAATAACAGAGACAGTTTCATCGACGACGCCATCATCAATCAATCAAGAACAATGATTCCCCTCTTGAAATCTCCTTGTTCTTCGTTGATTCTTCTCCTTTTCGTCCACAAATTTCTATATGATCTATCTCTTTTGTTTATCAAACTCGAGCAATTTACCCCTCTTTCTTGGCTCCCTCTCTTTCTCTCTTTCTCTCTTTCTCTCTCTCCCTCTATGTCTCTGTCTGCGTGACAATCTGACGTTGTAAGAAAGTGATGATGATTTGGGAAAATCTAATCTACTTTGAACCAGGGGAAATTTGCATTTATATACCTTATTTTGTATTTTCTTTTAAAATTTTAATGTAAAGAAAATATATTAATGAATGCTTATGATTTTATAATTATATTATTAAGAAAAAAAAACAATTAAACCCATCCGTGTTTTGGAAGATTTATAACCATATAATTGTTTATTTTAAAAATAATAACCGATTTAGTTTTTTTTTTTCTTTTTTTTTTAAGAATGACCATTATCTCCGGACTATAGTATTTCGGAAAAGCAGTATTCTTTTAGAGCTTCGATTTCAAAATGTGTCTCTGTATATTTCAAGCTGACAAAGTCAATTTCGAAGTACAGTAGTCAATATCGTATATAAATGTGACATTTTGAATCAAGATTCAAGAAAATGCATTTCGAACACATTTCAGACCCCAAAAAAAAACATCATTTTTCATCCCCTATGTATAAATGGTATCTCTTGTGGTTATCAGTTACTTTGGATCATCAATAATTATATATTATAACTGCTTCAAAATGATTTTTTACAAATAGTGAGCGCGAAAAATGTTTTACCAACCTATTTGTTTACCTACACAACCTTCGACAGACCAACCCTCATAGTTATACGAACATCAAAATTGATGTATGGATCGTTTCAAACTCTGTTTATAAGTATTGGATGTGTGGTAAAATTATTATGTTCCATATTTTAATTGTTTCTTTAAAATTTATTACGCTTCTACAGCTAATTGTTTTGTTTTCCCAAAAAATACAGATCCATGCATTTATAAGTTGCTTGTTGCATGTCATCCTTATAGGTAGTGTTCGTCTATGAGGAAAGTACCTAAAGATAGTATTTGTAATGTCCCAAAAATCCAAGGTAAACATTTCATTTTTAAAATGATAAAACATACGAGTTGTTCCAAACCGATTAAAGTGAATATATTATTTAAACATCAAAATAATATCATTAATTATCAATGCGGAAAACTCTGGGGGATATTATGCAATCATGTCAGGCCCTTCCCTTTCAAACTGAAAGCACCTGAAAGCATAAATATGAAATCGTAAGCACAAAGCTTAGTGAGTTCCTCAAAATACCACATACCATAACATACAAGTGTCATCAGCTAACCCCATGGTCTTTCCTTGCAGTGTCGAGGCCCAAATCTCGGTTGTACATACAAGTGTCATGGGTTACCCGATGGTCTTTCCTTGCAACGCCGAGGGCCAAATCCTGACCTTACATACAAGTGTCAGGGGCCAAATCATGGTCTTTCATACAATTATCATGGGCCAAATCCTAGTCTTTCATGCAAGTATTATAAAGACAACTAGCATTCTACATAACAAAGTAATGGACCGAAATTGGTGCCTTCGACCCACTTATATAGTGAGAAATCTCACCTCACAATCTAAAAGAATAGTTGCACCGATCACTGCTTTAAAGTTATCTCTAATGCTCACCTATACAATTAACAAGAACCCAAATCTCAAACTATGAATCAAATTACCTAAAATGCCCTTAGGTTAAACTTCGTCAAAATCCTATTCAAAGTCAAAAGTGAACAGATTCGACCAGGTCAAATCAGTTGAGTACACTGGACGTACTCAACACGTATGCGTGATGTATTATGCCTTGAATAAAAGTCAAGGGGCTGACCACATATGAACAACGTACCCTTTGGTATGCCCAGCGTACGCGTCTACCATCATCCCAACCCATTAAGAGCTTAATCTTTTAAGTTATTTCATCCAAAATCCAAATCTAACCCTCAAATGATATCCTTAACCATAAATTTTCTAACTTTATGGTATTGTATGGTTGTTAAGTCTTCAACATCCAAAAACCCTAACTTCTTAACCCATTAAGACATCCAAGACCATGCATGGAGAAAAACTAGGGGCCAAGGTCACATTTTTATGGTTCCTAATGACTCCATAATGGATACAGTTTACAATTTTATCCAATAGAATGGTCCAAACAACCAAGATCTAGTCTTTAAGTCTCAAAGGGACCAAAAGTGCATCTTTTTCAACTTAATCAACTAAGTCCAAGTCTCCAACCTTTAGATCCGAATTAATATGATGTTTAGATGGATAAAGTTTCCAACTTTATCCATAACAAGGTCACAAACTTTCAAGATCTAAACTTGATACACTAAAGTGACCAAAAGCTCAAAACACCCAAAACTAGCTAGATCTAACTAATACATCATCAAGATTCAAGCTTTTTACCTCTTGAAGAAAGATGAAGGTAAACAAAGTTTGGACCTACAAGCTCCAATGCAACCAACACTTCTCCAGTGAGCTCCGTCTTCTCCAAGATGCACCAAGAACACTCCAAAGTACTCATGAACACTTTTTTTTGCTCACAAGGCTCAAATTAGGGTTAGGGTTTCAAAGGAGGGTGTTGGAGAGGTCGACGTTGGGAATAGAATGGATTTAGAGGAGTTAACGAGCTTAAATAGGGCTCAAACCATGAAAATAGGGTTTAGGAATTGATCGCGTACACCTAGCGTACTCTAGGTATGCCTAGTATGTACAATATATATGTTGAATATGCCCAACGTATGCGGCTTAACCCAAAACTGCCCTTCCTTCAAACGGCCATAATCTCTTCGTTTCAACTCTGATTTTGACAATCCTTATATCTACGGATGGGTAATGAGAAGCTCTACAATCCTATCAATTCTCCATTGCCTTAAAACTTTCCGAAATTAGATCCAAAATTAATAAAAGGCCCGAACTATCACTTTATGGTTATACCCTTGGGCTCCAAAGCACTAACCGAACTCTCAGATCACCTAATCTAAATTACCCACATCCAAAGGGGTCTAAATCTCTCTTTCCCCTAATTCATGAATCCTTATGTAATAACCCAAAATTTAAGACCAAAGATTTCATTTTTAATTAGGTAATATAAAAACCAGTAGTAAAAAACATCCATATTGTCAACCCATATAAAAACCAATGTATCGATAATCAAAAGATGTCATAATGAAAACAAAATCACTGTATAACTCCCAAAGATCTCATGTGCGGAAATCATGGTGTGATACGTTGCGATCATGATGGTGCCTTTCCTTTTGAAGAAGAGGTACCTGAAACCAAAATTGAAAACCGTAAGCATAAAGCTTAGTGACTTCCCCCATCATACCACATACCATACAATAAACGTACTGTTAGGCATATATGGGTGCCCGACCTACCCTGCTGAGCATATCTGGGTGTTCAACCTACCCGTCTCAGGCATACCAGCGTACCCGACCTACCCCTGTCAAACATATCGGGGTGTCCGACCTACCCCTATCAGGCATATCTTGGTGCCCGAATGTAACATCCCCTCTCTGGCACGTATCACAATATTGTCCGCTTTGGGCCACTCGGCACGAGGACTTCCCAGGGGGTCACCCATCCTGGTACTACTCCCGCCCGAGCACGCTTAACTGCAGAGTTCTTATGGGATCTGCTGCCCTCACGGCTTTAAAACGCGTTGTGTTAGGGAAGGTATCCACACCCCTTATAAGGAATGCTTAGTTCTCCTTCCCAGCCGATGTGGGATCAGGTGCAACCCACCTTCACCCCCCATTATAGGGTTCGACGTCCCTGTCGAACACATCGACCCATACCCTAGCTCTGATACCATTTGTAACATCCCCCTCTGGCACGTATCACAATATTGTCCGCTTTGGGCCACTCGGCACGAGGACTTCCCAGGGGGTCACCCATCCTGGTACTACTCCCGCCCGAGCACACTTAACTGCAGAGCTCTTATGGGATCTGCTGCCCTCACGGCTTTAAAACGCGTTGTGTTAGGGAAGGTATCCACACCCCTTATAAGGAATGCTTAGTTCTCCTTCCCAGCCGATGTGGGATCAGGTGCAACCCACCTTGTAAATATGCACTCAGAAAGTGGGTTAGATCTGATCCCACATCGGCTTGGAAGGAGACCGAAACATTTCCTTATAAAGGGGTGTGGATACCTTCCTTGTAACAACGCGTTTTAAAGCCGTGAGGGCAGCAGATCCCATAAGAACTCTGCAGTTAAGCGTGCTCGGGCGGGAGTAGTACCGGGATGGGTGACCCCCCTGGGAAGTCCTCGTGCCGAGTGGCCCAAAGCGGACAATATTGTGATACGTGCCAGAGGGGGATGTTACAAGATCCCATAAGAACTCTGCAGTTAAGCGTGCTCGGGCGGGAGTAGTACCGGGATGGGTGACCCCCCTGGGAAGTCCTCGTGCCGAGTGGCCCAAAGCGGACAATATTGTGATACGTGCCAGAGGGGGATGTTACAAATGGTATCAGAGCCAGGGCACGAGTCGATGTGTTCGACGGGGACGTCGAACCCTATAATGGGGGGTGAAAGTGGGTTAGATCTGATCCCACATCGGCTTGGAAGGAGACCGAAACATTTCCTTATAAAGGGGTGTGGATACCTTCCTTGTAACAACGCGTTTTAAAGCCGTGAGGGCAGCAGATCCCATAAGAACTCTGCAGTTAAGCGTGCTCGGGCGGGAGTAGTACCGGGATGGGTGACCCCCCTGGGAAGTCCTCGTGCCGAGTGGCCCAAAGCGGACAATATTGTGATACGTGCCAGAGGGGGATGTTACAGATCTGCTGCCCTCACGGCTTTAAAACGCGTTGTTACAAGGAAGGTATCCACACCCCTTTATAAGGAAATGTTTCGGTCTCCTTCCAAGCCGATGTGGGATCAGATCTAACCCACTGTTACAAATGGTATCAGAGCTAGGGCACGGGTCGATGTGTTCGACGGGGACGTCGAACCCTATAATGGGGGGTGAAAGTGGGTTAGATCTGATCCCACATCGGCTGGGAAGGAGAACTAAGCATTCCTTATAAGGGGTGTGGATACCTTCCCTATCACAACGCGTTTTAAAACCGTGAGGGCAGCAGATCCCATAAGAACTCTGCAGTTAAGCGTGCTCGGGCGGGAGTAGTACCGGGATGGGTGACCCCCTGGGAAGTCCTCGTGCCGAGTGG